ATGCAAGGATTTAGTCACCTAAAAAAAATTACTTATTACTAAACTGGAATATCTTAACATTATATTTTTAACTTTTTTTTTTTATAAAATATAAAACTCTTTCATAACTGAAGCCTCACTCAACTTTCTTTCATACATATCCACCATTTTTTACAGCTGTACAAAAGGTATATAGGACAATAATAGTAAAAAAAAAATTATGCTCCTACGCTACCTACCCTCCATTACATAGAATTCAATACTGTCTAACAACTTTTACCTCTAAGAAAAACAATACTTATCTGGGGTTCCCTGTAGAATACAATATCTCTAAAGTAAACTGTCATCAAAATGCTAAAAATAAAGATTTGTAAATATTTACTTTAGTTCTCAAGGATGAATTTAAAATCTAAATCATCAAATGTTATAATATTTAACTTCCATTTCAGGTTACACTGAAGTACAACACAAGTAAACTGAGATGGAATCACAATTTTAGTTGAAATCTGATTTCCCTTATAATACATTAAAAAAAGATTTAATAATAAAAATGAAGATATGAACACCATATTGAAACACCATACACATTACGGTAACATCATAATTATTTACAGAATTCACCTCACTTCTAATAAATACCTGTGAAACAAAACAAAACAACATGAATAAATAAAAATAAAAAAAGGTACATGGAATCAAAAAAAGACGCAAAAACACCAAAAACAACTGCATTGCTCCTATCATAACTCACAGCACCGCACCAGTCTACACCTTTCAGAGAGAAAACGAACTCATTCACGTAAGCCAGTCCTTAGAGCAACACTCCACCGCCCTTGTTGAGGATCTCTGTGGCCATCTCTATCCTGCGCGAGAGGAGCTGGTGGTTGGGATCTTCCGACTGCTTCTTGGAGCTGAGGAACTTGAGAATGAATATCCGGAGGCTTTGGCGGAGAAGACGCAGCTTGGGAGAGAGGGACAGCTGAGAGAAAATTTTGTCAACAGTGTCTGCTCCAGCTGGGTGAAGTAGGAGAGAAATAAGGAGCTGTCTTAAGAAGCTGACTGTCTGGCCCTCCACCTCCATAAATGAGATTGTCTTCAGAATGGACAAGTTGACGGCATCTTCACCAATTAGGTGGGACAGGAACTTGGCCAGGTTGGCAATCTCTCTCTGCTTGAGATCTTCCAATTCTTTGAACTTATCCCAGAGTGCAAATTGAATCAATCTCTTGTATTTTCTATCAAACTTGCACATTCTGTTGCTCAGGTATGCAAAGAAAGCATTGTACTCCTTCCCCTTCTGTGCACACAGCAATATTACACTGAACAGTTCCCGTTCTTGCTGTGGTGGGAGGCTAAGCTGGCTGAGCTTCTGAAAGGCATCCAGGTAGTCCTCTGAGCCCTCTGTCACTATGTACAGAATGTTGATTCTAGGGGGACGGGATAGTTGCAGCTTGGCTGCACGCTCTTTGAACTTCTCACTGAACTCTGTCTCTAAACCCTTGGCAGTATTCAGGTCCTGCTGCCTTTCCTGTGTTTTTCCATCAATCAGGCTACCAGACCAGGCTGAGCCCACAATCCACCAGCGGCCACACTCCCGAGCCTTCAGCAAGTCCTCCAAGGTGACCTTGAGTGGTGCATTCTGAGTGCCCTTACGAACAAAGCCCTTTAGGACTTTCTTGAGATGCTCCACGTGTGTTGGGTCATAGTTGGGCACTTTGGCCATGTTATTGTTGCGGATGGCCTGGACCACCTCCAACATGAAACGGATGCGCGTGAAGGAAGTGTTATCCTCACTCTGGGCCTCTGCTTCAGCTGCCTTGCTTTGGATCTTGGTGATGAGTGACTTGAGGGCCAGAGGGTCATCCTTGCGCAGGGTGAAGCCCACACCACGTAGTACCAGAAGGATGAGCTCCACCTGGAAGGAAAAATATATAGTTATACTTTTGAACTGAAATAATCTTTCTGTTCCATATACCAAAAAGGTAAAAGAAAAGCTCCATCTGAAATACAATGAGTTTCCTTCCATAATCTTAAATGAAAAATCTGCATCTCACAATGATACTTGTATCTATGATGTAATCCTTTAGGAACTTTATATTAAAGAAATATGAATTCCAGTCACTTAACCAAGTCAAAATTATTCATATCCAACACCAATATCTGGAATCAGTATCAAACGCCACAAAAAGGAAACACTTGGCTTTTTTAAAGTAATGTCACTCTTCAACCACTTGTATTTCTACTCTTACTGAATACTTATTATTTTCAGTAAATCATAAGGTTCCTTGGTTTAAATAATACCCAATACCCTATGAAACATATTTCCTATCAAAACAAATATCATGGATGAGGAATCTGCTTCAAAATCTATAAAAATTCTTCCATATTTGATTCACTTTCCCCTGTAAATAATGCATTTCCTTTGCAACATTCTTCTTTACAAACAAATGTGTAATTCTGCTGAGAGATGAAGAAAACAAACTTCAAATTGATTTCAAAACTTTTTTTTTACTTTTTTTGCACCATTGGTTAGGACCAAAAATTATAACAGTAATTAGTAGAATTACACTAATAAAAATAGTAAAGATAATAATAAGAAGAATGATAATAATAATCCCATTAACTTGTATAGTCTTATTCACCATGGTCATGGCTCTCCACAAGTCAAGGCATTACTATTCATTATCAATAAGATATATGAAGTGACCAGAAATATATCAGGTACTGTGTGGCACATTTCCTCCAGCCACATCCACAGTATCAATATTCATACTCCCCTTCTAGGTGTCCTGTCCTTAAGCCATTCATACTGTCATATTTGCATGTCTCTTTCTCCTTGTGAAGGAAAGGTAATGAGTGTGAATTAGTAAGTATTGTACTGTATGGCAGCAAAACTATCTGGCTTTTTGTTTCCCATATTCCCCTTCTACACACTAAACTACTACATGTAAGAGAATTACCTCCTGGTATCTCACTGTCTTTTTAGTATTAAAACATCTAAATATCTGTAAATAAAACATTTTATTGTTTCTTGTGATAAAAGTATGTTCTCCTTGCTCTAAGAAGGCCATGAAATCTTACCAACAAAACTTAACTTTTTGTGAGACTTGAAAAAATCATATTTCTTTTACAGCTGGAGGAGGATAGGGAGGTTGACACAGCAAACTAGAGTATTTGCAATGTTTAGAGATCAAGACTCAAAACCAAAACTAACAAAAAAACAAAAACAGTTATGCCCACCTCCTTCTCCCCGAACTTCTCAGCCAGCTTTTCTAGGATGCCATAGACAAGAGTTGCATCCATCACCCTGAAGTTGTACAGGTTGGCAACGAACTGGAGTAGGTTGTCCAGCTCCTTGCATTCAAGCTCTTTCTCGGAGTCTGCGTCTTCTGAACGGTCGCTCCATCTCAAGACAAACTCATTCAGGATGTGCGCACCAACCTGTGGGTCAGGATAAGGGAGTGTGAAGAGAGATTGGAAGTTAAAAGGGTTTAGAAGAGAAGAGGGGGAAACTGCATAAAAAAAGTTTGATTGGAAGTGTGATGGTTATCAGACTAATCATAATCATAATCATAACCATAACCATAACAATAATGATAATAATAATAATAATAATAATAATAATAATAATAATAATAATAATAATAATAATAATAATAATAATAATAATAATAATGATAATGATAATAATAATAATAATAAAAATCTGTATTAAAAAAGTTTCAACTTCATGTGATAACATTACTGTAATAATAACATAGAATAATGTATTATAATACTAATATTCAATAATTAAATAACAAATGTATAGAATGAAAATAAAGAGTTACCAAAATAACACTCATCCTGAGCTCTGAGAAAATCTTTAGCAATTATATTTCCTCTTCATTCACTACCATATCCTGTAATACTTGAAATAAAATAAAAATGACTGTACTTATATATCACCTCCTTCCTCTTCCATTATAAGACAAAATATAGCAACTGTCATTTTCAGGTATCTATGCATGTGCAATAAAGTACTGCAACATCAATTATACCACAAATATCCAAATTATAATCATTAAGCTTGAAATAAATGTGTATCAGAATAGAGTGGGAAAAAAAAAGTTTCTTTCCCTCCTGTGTGCACATAAATCCCTGAACTCTGCCATGTGTTATGGGAAATAAAGTGATGCAGTCTTTATTATGATCCAAGAGAGCAATGCTATCTCTCAAACTAAAACAATGAAGAAAAATTTTAATCACCATACAAGAAAAAAACAGTCCATTATCATCCAACAGACAACACATGCAATTACTTCTACATTTGAGACATGCTTGCTTACCTCCTCCCCAATATTGGCAGAGAGCACAGCCACCAGCATGGCATGCTCCTGGACCAGTCTCTCTGGAGTGAGTGTAGGCCCCACAAGTGATTCCAGAAGCAGACTGGTGAAGACTTCACTCATGTCATTGCGACTGAATTTGGTGTACATGCCCTCGATCTGATTGGCAATACCGCCGAGGTTGCTCTCTGCCAGGCGATTAAGCAGGCCCTTGAGAGTCTTCTTCATCCTGGCCAGCTGCTCCTTCTTCTTCTCATCGGTGTTCAGGGCCATGAGCTTCCTAAGGGCAGGAGGAATATACTTACCACCCATGGTCTGGCTCTCCTCCTCCCCCTCCTCACGCTTCACTACATTTCCTTCTCGGTCCCTCAGGCGCCCATATATGTCCTCTGTCAAGCCATCCTCCTCCGCCTCTTTCTCCTCCTCGTCCTCCTCGTCCTCCTCCTTTTCCTCTGTTTTTTCATTATTCACTCCATCACTTATATCTTTATCACCTTCTGTTAAATCATTATCATCATCAATCTCATCCTCGCTAAATTCAGCACTGCCAGGAGACTCATCCTCAACATCAAGTTCCTCATCCAAAGGTTGTTCATTAATGCTGCCCTCACCATCATCACCGTCATCACCGTCATCATCAGCACTGAACTCTGCACTCCCGGCCGATTCATCACCAGATTCTTCGTCCGTAACCTCTGGAAGGTCAAATGACACTCGTCTCTTCCCACTGGTTTCTTCCTTTGCCTTGTGGCTCCTTGGTGCTGTCTTCTTTTGCTTTCTATTTGTTGGCTTCTTCAAGATTGTTTTGATTTTATTGCTTCTGCTGTCTGAGTCTTCACTTTCACTTGATGCTACAGAACTGGCTTTTTTCATTTTTTTGCTACTGACCAGATCTCCTTCATCTTCGTCTTCTTCCTCTTCTGATGGCAATTCTGACCTTTTTCTCTTAATACTAGACTCATTTATTATTTCACTATCATCATCTGAACTGTCTCCTACGTTGATTTTCTTTTTCTTCTTGTTTTTCTTTGGAGACGGCTGTTCTTTTTCATCACCAGTATCCTCACTTGTAACTGTGGGCAGTGGTACTAAATTCTTGGTTAATGATTTTATTTTCACATCAGTTTTTTCATTTCCACTATCATCACACTCACTATCATTGTCATTATCATATTCATCCTCCTCCTCATCACTGATAATTAACCTAGGTGATTTGCTACTTAACTTTAATTTCGATTTTGCATTTAGAGGTACATCATCGACCATATCTTTGTCTTCATCATTATCTTTATCACCTTTTTTATCACTATCTTTATCACCCTTTTCTTCATTCTCATCTTCACTTTCCTCATCACTCATGACAATCAACCTCTTCTTCGTCCTCTTCTTCACTGGAGATAAGCCATCACTTGCAGGACCATCGGAATCGTCAAATTCCTCTTCCGGCAACTCATCCTCAACATCTTCAAACTCAACTTCCTCATCATCGACAACAAAGTCTTCAAGGTCTGTGTCATCATCGCTGTTACTTGAATATTTGTCAATATCATTTTCTTGTCCGTTCTTTAGGATTTCTGGCTTGCTGTAGTAGCCAGAGCCTCCCTCAAAGGCAAAATCTTCTTCATTCCTGATGTCGTGTACAAGCTCCCTACCATCGTCTTCGCTCTCCTCGTCGCTACATTCCATTGCTTCTGTATCCAAAAAGCCATCGTTTTCTTCCTCTTCCTCTCCCTCCTCACTTCTAACTTCTTCGCCATCAAAATCCTCTTCCCTCTCTCTTGATATCCTGCCATAATCTATCTTAGGTTGTTCATCTGCTTCCTCTTCATCATCTGTATACCATTCACCTTCTGCAGAAAACATCCCATCTTCACTATCGCCTTCTCCATTTGCATATCTATTATCCTCTCCATTTTCTATGTCATCTGGATCTCCTTCCTCATCATGACTGCCTTCACTCTCATCTCCATAACCCATCTCATCCTCACTCTCTTCTTCTGTACTTTTAATCTCTTTCCTCTTCTTTTTGAACTTTGTAGGTCTGCTTCTCTCCTCACCATATCCATATTCTAAATCACTGTCTTCCTCACTCTCCACATCAATACCATTTTCAAAAGTATCAAACTCATCACCACCCAACCCCTCATATTCTTCCATGTCATCACCATCGTCCTCTCCGTTTTCAAATGCATCAAAAGCATCATCAAGTAAACCTCCCTCATCTCTGTCCTCCAAGGTCTCTTCAACCTCGCTTTTCTTTTTCTTCACCTTCGTCTGCCCGAGTGCCATGGCCATATCTTTCTCCAACTCGTCTTCACTGTCACTCGGTTCAACATCTGCGTGCTTATACTTATTCAGGTGTTGCATGTGTCCTCCCTCGATGTCTTCAATCAGGCTGCCAAAGTCATCTCCAAGGAGGGGCACCATTTTCTTGCGAGACTTTGCATTCAGATTTAGGAGGCTTGACAACTTCTTGATCTCCTTATTGTCTTGTTCAATATCTTGTTTTAGTTTTTTCAACTTCGTCTTGTCTTTGATGTGACTAGTTTTATTGTCTGTCTCTGCCTCTTCGCTCTGCCCGGCCTGGTTTTTCTTTTTCTTCTTCTTTCCTCCTTCCTCCTCATTAAATGTCCCCATCTTCCTTGCCTCCTGATTGACATACTCCTGCAATCTGGCCATACGATCACTCACCGAGGAGGACATCTTGAAACCTTGTTCTTCTTTCTCCTCCTCCTCCGATTCATTATCTTGCTCTCCCTTATTGCCATTCTGGGTATTCTGTTTTCCACTTTTTCCTTGCCCTTGAAATTTACCTTTGCCCTTTTTACTGTTATTACCCTTGTCTTTAAACTTCCCCATCTTCTCTTTCTCAGCCTGTGCATACGCTTGCAATTGCTTGATTCCCTTAGCATTAGGACTGGTTTTCCCATTAGGTCCCTCCTCGCTGGAAAATCTCCCCTTCCCGCGTCGAAATCTTCTGGTGAATAGGGATTTTTTCTGCTTAGCTTGCAGCCGCTTCTGTTTACGGCGTTCCTTTCGATGCATAAGGGTTTTCGCAAGACCTACGGCATTTGGCTTGTTGGTGGCATTTCTCTGCTTATTAAATTTCATTCTGTCGGGGAATATACAGACTGAGGGAGACACAGACAAACACACGTGCGAATACTTGGGATTTGTTTACTAACTTACGAGC